AATCTGATACAATTTGATGAACTTGACCTACACCTATGGATGCAGTAGCTCAAAAGAGGGAACAAATCTTTACAGCAAGGATCATTCCCACCCCCTCAATACACAGGGTAGACAGGGATGGGCAACTTGGACATTGGCTACCCAAAACGGGGAAGCTACAAAGGCAAGAAGTGACTGGCTTACAAGCTTTCAAAAGGGAGCCTAGATCCTGAGGGCGCGGAAAAGGTAGAATCTCCGTGAGTAGTATCCAGTCTGTCTGGGCGGGACTGGTGAAAGGAGATGTGGATAGCACTCATGTGGTACAATAGTGAATAATTACTATCAGGACTGACTGTGAGGGTTGGAAATGTAAAGGTAGATGTTTTGTAGCAAAAGGAGGGGAGCGGTTGACCTTGCAGTCCAGGAGCGGAGGACCCTGGGACCATCAAGAGAGACGAGTGGAGAGCGGGACCCTACCCAGAGAAGCAGTGACGCCAGAGGTGGAGGCAGAGATGATGACATGGAGAGATGGAGTGGCTGGGAACTCTAGACCCAGAGAGGGAGAGGGGCTGTGTGCTGGCGACCAAGGGTCAGGCTTGCAGGGTGTACCCTTTTGTTAGTTGATGATGCATGGACGGGATTGTAACCATGGCAACGAAACGATATACAATAGGATGAACATAAAGCTAATGTTCTCCCATGTAAACTATCACATAATTCACAATAAAACATTAAAAAAAAAAAAAGATTACAGCTTTGGAAACCCGATAGGGCAAGTTCTACCCTGCCCTATAGGGAATGCTATGAGTTGAACTCAACTGGATGGCAGTTGGTCTGTTTTGGGTGTGTGGTTTTTTTTTTTTAATTCCCTCTTCTTACTTAGAGCAGTGGGTACCAGACTCTGGAGGTTTGCTATTAGGACTGATAGGTTTGCCGGATTTGTATCCCCCATCATTTCATAACAGAAAGGACAACGTGACCTGGGAACGGGTGGGCAGGACATGATCTCTCAGAGTCAAGTACAGCCCTGGATACTAAGCAGGATCTTAAGAAACACTCACTACCTTGTGCATATTTTTCTGATTTTGCCTGGTGGAAACTGTCAAGGACCAACACTGTGGGAAAATCGACATTGGGTAGCCTTTTAGAATGCGCTATTTAGAGGAGAGGAGTCCCTGGGTGTCACAAATGTTTAAGCACTCAAATACTGACTGAAAGGTTGGCGGCTCGAGCCTACCCAGAGACATCTCAGAACAAAAGTCTGGTGACTTGTTTCTGAAAGGTCACGGTATGAAAACCCTATGGAGCAGGGGTCTGACCACGGGGTCACCATGAACCGGAATCAACTCCAGGACAACTGGTTTTTGCTCCTTTTTGTTTTCTTTTAAGTAGTAACTATGGTTATTAGTAGCATAGTGGTTACGAATCGGGCTGCTAACCTCACAGTCAGCAGTTCGAAACTACCAGCGGTTCTGCGGGAGAAAGATGAGGCTTTCTGCTCCCGTAAAGATTTACAGCCTCAGAAACCCTGTGCAGGGTCACGATGAGTCAGAACCAACTCCACGGTACTTAACAACAACAATGGTTATTATATAAAACTTTTTTTTTCTTTACTAAGCCTTGCTTTTGAGTCTAAATTATTTCTCTTATAGATCATAATGACCAACTGGATGAATCATTTCTAGAATTAAAGACTCCGAGAATGGAAAAAATATTAGTGGACCCAAGACCTGATTTTCCAGCTCTTTCAAGGATAGAGAGCCGAGTGGTAACTAAACCTAAAGAAAGTTTGGGTGTCGCAGCTGCCTGTGCAGGGGCTACATGTGAAGGGTGGGCCTGAGAGTCGACCGGCAGCAGTGAGACCTGACTTGGATGCGCTAGCAGTGGTTCAGGGCCGGGTCTTTCCATTATCCTTGTCATTACCAAACCCATTGTCCAATATTGGAATGGAAAGATGGTCTTCCCTTTTGCACAGCATTGCTCTATGACAGGGTCGACACTGGGCGATGCCATTCTCGTTTTAGATCCATTATATGCAATAGAGAACGTTCAGCAGGGTAACTTATAACATAAGCTGCGAATTTGCCTAAGCTTTGGGTTTCACGATACACTGAAAACCATGAACACACCACAGATAGCAGGAGGGTGCCATGATACAGAGGACATGAGTTCTACAGTCAAGAACATCTGTGTCCAAATCCCAGCTCGGCAGCTGTATGGCCTTGGGCAAGACTGTTAACGTCTCTGGGACTCAACTGCTCAGCTGTAAAATGAGAATGAAAAATTAGAGGTCATTAAGTAAAATGCCTAGCCCAGTGCCTAGCTCATTGTTAACATGTAATAAATGATATGGGTGCTGTAGGATCAGCACTGGACTGCAAACCACAAGATCAATGGTTCAAACCCACCAGCTGCTTCTCAGAAACCCTATCCAGGGTCGCTATGAGTTGGAACTGACTCCATGGCACTTAACAACAACAGTTATTAAATACCTTAAATATTAGTATCCAGGGAAACCTTCCCTTCTTACGGGCACACAGTTTTTTATCAGTCAGGATTTTCAGAAGGGATTCCATGGTTAGGTTGAAGGTGCCCTCATGCCTAAGTGGGTGATTCATGGGGTGTTTAATACATGACAGCTCTGGTCAGTATATGTCACATGACCCTCTGGGAGTGTGTTCACTGTCACTGCTAGATCTAAACCATACACAGGCTTTTAAAAGAAATATCGGAGCCACCCTATCTGTACCAATATTCTCTCCAACAATTTTTTAGACATTTTCTAGTGTCTAGGATGTGGGTATTAGGAAATGTGTTGGTTTCCTTGATAAAACCATACACTTATTTTCTATTATTGTGAGTGGAGGGAAAATATTCCATTTGGGAAGCCAGGGAACTGATGTCCTGGCCTTGCCTCTAAGACTTACCGTCTTCTTGGTAGTGAGTTCTAATCCCACCACTGACATCACCTGCCAGGAAACCTCCCGACTCTCTTAAATTATCCCTCCTCCAAGGCTGGCGATAATAAAAAGCAAAAATGAGGGGGAGGAAGAACTGACATGTATTGAGTGCTTGCTGTATGCTAGGCATTGAGTTCAGCTCTTTCCACACATGATCTCATTTAATCTTCGCTGCAGCCTTCTGTCGTCATTATTATCATCCTCCCTTTACAGACTGGGAAAATGAAGCCCACAGGAAGCCGAGCTCCTCAGCCACGGCCACACAGATAGTGAGGGAGGGACCCTAATCTGGGTCTTTGGTTGTCTTGTCTCCAGCACCGCTGCTAGACCGCAGAGTAGAGGCCAGGGACTGTGTGATTGGATCCCAGATTCTTTCACAATGGTCCTCCCTCAGGAGTCCAGCAACCTTCATGAAAAGAGGGGAGACCCTGGAGGGGGCACCCCCAGGACACATCTGAGGGGAGCTGAAGATAGCTGTATTTCATATTCTTTCTGCAGGCCATGTGCCTAATTTATCATCATCTTCAAGTACCCCAATTTATTCCCATCTCAGTAAATATAAAGATAAATATGCCCACTTTTATCTGTCACAGTTTCTTTGGGGCCTTGCCACTGAGGTTTTTAAAACCACTGGTCTCGTTTGTTTACAGTGCAGTGTCAATCAAGACTACGGACTAACAGATGCTTGCACTTAAGGCCCAATTTAGTTTTAAGGGCATTTGTGGTCCTTGAGGCTCCCTTGTGAGTCAAAAGGTGAAGGTTCTCCACAGCCAGCTGGCTGACCAGGGTCTAGGTAGATGTCCAGCAGCAAATGCTGCCCCGCCTCACCTTTGGAAAGAGTCTGAAGCAGTGCTTTCCCACCAGGTGACAGCATTAGAAAACGATTTGGCCAAATTTGTAAGAGTGGAGTTTCCTTTGGCTAAAAATGAAGTTCCTTTCATAAAAAGGGACTGTTTTCTGTTTGACCTTCATGCATTCATTCCCTAAACATGCCTACTGTGTGCCACTCTATGCCAGGCTCCCTGCTAAGCTCCAGGCTTGGGATAACGAGTAAACCGCAGCATGGTCCTTGTTTTCAGTCATCTAAAGGCAGAGCTCCCCAACCCCTGCACTACTGCTGGATCATTCTTAACTAATGAGGAGCCCTGGTGTCGCCATGGTGTAGCACTTGGCTGCGCACTGTAAAGTCAATGGTTCAAAACCCACCAGTCACTCTGCAGGAGAAAGACATGGCAGTCTGCTTCTATAAAGATTGCAGCTTTGGGGACCCTCTGAGACAGATATACTCTGTCAGATGGGGTCACTTTGAGCCAAAATTGACTTGATTTAGGAGCCCTGGTGGCACAACATTTCAGCGCTACGCTGCTAACCAAAAGGTTGGCAGTTCAAACCCATCCAGTGATTTCACGGAAGAAAGATCTGGCAGTCTGCTGCTGTAAAGATTACAGCCCTCCCCCGCCAAAAAAAAAAAAAAAAGACACCCTTTGAGGCTGTTCTACTCAGTCACATGGGGTCACAGTGAATCAGAAGTAATGGTACCCACCAACAACAATTCTTAACTGTGAGGACTGTCCTGTTCATTGTAAGGCCTTTACCCACCAGATGTCAGTAACAACCCTCCTACTCAGTTGTGACAACCAAAACTGCCTACTGGAGGGAGGAGGACAAAATCTCCCCCATTAAGCATCATCGGTCTAGAGGAAGGATGGTCAGTAATCAAAGAATAAGACAGGTGATCTATCCTTGCAAGCAGTGAGCCAGCCATTCTCTGAAGGAGGTGAACACAGATCTTAGGAAGCAGGTGACAAAGGAATCCCACAGAATAATCAGGGAACGGAAATGAAAATCAAGTCTCCTGAGTTACTGTTTCATGTAGCGTTGTAGGAATTCATGATGGCATGCCAAGAGAGAATTTTTATTTCTTTTTTAATTTCAGCCTCAAAACAGCCTTTCCAACTCTGGGCCCATTCTGGCGATTGAGAAGTCGGGGAAAACGGATGCGGCGGAGGCTTTGGAACTCAGTGAAAAGCTGGTATGTAAATACCACAATCAAGCCCCTTCTGCCCAGAGCCTGGATTCCTGCAGTCAGTGTTAACCATGGAGTAGTTTAACTAAAGCTTATATACCTATTTAGTTGTTATAATAGCTCTGCAAGATCCATCTACTATCCCAGCATGGGTCAGAAATTGCATCACTGAATTCCTTGAAAAGCTGGGTAGTTAGAATAAATGTTTATATCTGTTGTCATTTTGGGTTTTTTTTCCCTCTCCGGGAAATGACTTGGGGGGGGGAAATTAGAGTCATAAAGGCCTCCATTGCCCTAATTACTACAGCATTTGTTTGTTCTTTGCAACTGCACAAAATGAATGAGCCCTTCACTTCCTTAAGGCAGCCACCCACAGTCTTGAGCAGTCCCTCTTCTCTGTTTGCTCTTGCCTCGTAGTACATGGACATGAGTAAAACGCTTGGGAGCCTCATGAACATCAAGGAGATGTCGGGTCAGGTGTCCATGAAATACCTGTCCCCAAAAGAAAGGGAGAGAGTCAATCAGCTACGCCAAAGAGACCTTGACATAGTGTTTGATAAGATCACCCAACTCAAGAACCGACTGGAGAGGAAAGAGGACCTTCTGAGAGGTTACGAGAGTGACATAGAACAGCTCAGGTACTGCCCCATGTCCAGCAGAAAGGCCCAATCTCTCATCTCCTGGCTAACCCTAGAGGCAGCAGCAAACACAGAGGGCTGTGACAGAGCACCGAAGGCCTAGGGGGCATAACTAAAACACTGGGGAGGGACAACAGGGAGGACCTGATAGAGACAAATAGCTCTAGGAGAAAGTGGTCACAAAAGCGTTCCGTTCCCTCCCGTCTGCAGTCTCTCTTTTCTGTAAGCTCAGCCTTTTGTGAATCTCAACTTCTGTTTTTCCATTTGTGTGCTTTACATGGTTCCGTCCTGTGTCCAACACTGGCCATGCCTCCCTCTGTGGGAAGTTAGTGCAGAGCTTTCATATCCTCTAGCACGCTCTTGCTAAACTTATTCCAGTACTTAGCTGTTGATTCCGCCCTCTGCTCCCCCAACTCCTGATGAAACCATTACATTAGGGGCATCTGGAAGTAGTTTGAGCATTTCCCAGGTTTGGGATGTTGATAAATGAGAAAGATGGGGGGCAAAGAGACTATCTTTCCATGTGTCCAGGCAGAGCAAAGTGTCCATTCAGATGTACCAGTCACAGGTGGCCAAGCTGGAGGATGAAATCTACAAAGAGGCAGAAGAAAAGGCCTTGCTGAAGGAGGCCCTGGAGCGCACAGAGCACCAGCTGTGCCAGGAGAAGAGGCTCAATAGGGCCATCAGACAGCAGAAGGTGAGAGACCTCTGCTTGGAGCAGAACCTCTGAGACTGCCCCTCAGCTCCCATTAGAAATAGCCAAATGTGGCCCCAGGAGGGTCTAGGTATTGTAGACCACCATATGCAATGGAAGGTGGTGGAATCGCTTTAGTATCAGGCAAATCTAGGTTTCCATTCTTACTCTACCACTTCCTGTGTGACCTTACGCAGTTTTCTTAACCTCTCTGAACTTACAGTGTTCATCTGTATTTTTTTAATGGTGGCTATTTGTAAAAATGGCATGGCAGGGGAGGTGTCTGACCTCCTTTAACGTCACAGGAGGGGAGAAGGCTCATTTTCAGCATCCACAGCCTGAGGCTGATTCCTATAAGACGAAGGTCAGATATGCCTCCTCTCTCCAACCTTTTTACCAATTCTGATACTCTCTGTCCCTCCCACAATGCTTGATTTCTCTGCTAGGTTCGATAATTCATTGCAGTGACCACACAAAACTCACAGACCATAACTAATGACTGTGGGGCTTATTGGGGTAGTAACAGGTTACAATTCAGGATCAGAAATGACTCAGGATATCATTCTTCAATCAGGATAACCTCTTCTCAGTCATGCAAACAGGCAGCCCTCTTCTCTGGCTCTCCATCTGGCCTCTGTCTTGCTCAGGCAAGTGTTACAAAGCTCTTTCGCTCTACCAGTAAATGCCCAGAGCCACTCTACTATGCAAGCCAGCCTCCAGCCCAAAGGCACTCAGCCTTCTTGCTCTATGGGCTGGAGAGCCCATCAGGTCATGATCACCTGCCTGTGTCCTGCTTCTACTGTCTCTGCATCTGCTGTTTCTCAGTTGCTGCTTACTGCTGTCTCTCACTGTTATGTGTCTCTATCTCCTGGGTCTATGAGGTTACCAGCACAGGGACCCTGGGGCCAAAGGACATGCTCTGCTCCCATCTCTTCTTCTTGGTGGTATTCAGGACCCTTCCCCTCCCCATGCTCTGGGATTGGCTGTATTTTAAGCTTAGCAGGATGACAAAGCTTGTTAGAGCCCCATGCACTTTATTCATATGCTCCCATTTCCACAAGAATGCCATGCACCTTATTTACATTGTTGGCAAGCTATCCAATCTATTTGGTGGCCCTCAAGCACCTCATTTGCATGGCGCCACCCCGTCATTTGGTGGATGATACAAAGGCTATGACTGGAAGGGTCATATTAATTTATTGCACTACACTATGGTTCAGAACTAACTGCCTTGTCATGTGCCAGGGATACATAGATGAATAAACTTTCTGAGAATAGGGGTTTGGGATCATTATTCTGAGCACCTGGTATATAGTGGTGGCAGTTGTGCGCCGTCAAGTTAGCTCCAACTCATAGCGACCCTGCATATGGTTTTTGAGGCTGTAAATCTTTTCAGGAGCAGAAAACCTCATCTTTCTTCCATGGAGTGACTGGTAGATTCAAACTGCTGACCTTGAGGTTAGCAGCCTAGTTCCTAATCTGCTACACTACCAGGGCTCCTGCTGGTACATAGTGGTGATAGTGGTGGTGATGGTGTGCTGTTGAGTCCATTTCAACTCATAGCAACCCTGTATAGGGTTTCAGAGACAGTAATCTTCATGGGAGCAGAAAACCTCATCTTTCTCCAATGGAGCAACTGCTGGATTTGAACTGCTGGCCTTACAGTGAGCAGCCCAATATGTAACCCACTACACTACCAGGGCTCCTTGCTGATACATAGTAGACACCAGTAAATATTTGTTGAATCAATGGTAGATAGATGGGTTGATAGATGAGTGAATGGATCAATGGATGAATGGTTGGATGGATAGATAGGTGGATGGGTGGAAGGAAGGAAGGGTGGGTAGATGGAAGGGTGGACAGACCAGTGAATCGGGATGGACAGGTGGATGTGCGAATGGATGGTTAACCTTGAAGAACATATCCTTTTGTGGAAAACAAATAGGTAAAGAGCTGACTTCAGGCTAATTTAATGGGGTAAGTGTTCAGTCAGAAGGATGCTTGGAGCTACATTAGCCTTAGAGAACATTCATCCCAGCCTAGAGCATTTGAGGAAGACTTCCTAAATCAATGATACTTGCACTTAGTTTCAAAGGAGACTTGGAGTTTGCACTCTAGACAGATGGGCAGGTGAACATTCCAGGCTGGAAGTAGCACAGAGGACAGAAATGAGGATGCAAAACACAGGCAGAGATGTGCCTCCTAGCATGGAGTTGATAATAACATTGACTTTAGAAACCAAGATTCCAGACTCAGGTTCAATTAAAAACAAAACAGCCACCTCCAAACCCTATGTTATATGCAGCAGATTTGCCTGAGGTGCACCTTGGTGGACTGAAACCTCGACACAGTAGCTGGTAAATGGTAGAGCTGGTCCCTGACCTCGGGTCTCTCTGACCCCAATTCCTGTGCTCTATGATAGATGGCCACCACTCATCTGTCAGTTTTTCATAGTGTGGTGGCTTGTAAATTGCTGTGATTCTGAAAGCTATGCCAACAGTGTTTTAAATACCAGAAGGGTCACCCATGGTGGACAGGTTTCAGATGAGCTTCCAGACGAAGACAGACTAGGAAGAAAGAGTGACAAACTATTTCTGAATATTTAGACTCTGAAAACCTTATGAATAGCAGAGAAACACTGTCCAATATAGTGCCAGAAAATGAGCCCCTTAGGTTGGAAGGCACTCAAAATACGACTGGGGAAGAGCTGCCCCCTCAAAGTAGAGTTGACCATGATGACGCAAATGGAGTAAAGCCCATGGGAGAAAAGCCCGTGGGACCTTCATTTGCTGATGGGGCACAACTCAAAATGAAGAGAAACAGATGTAAACATCTGTTGATAATCGGAATATGAAATATACGAAGTATGAATCTGGGAAAATTGGAAGTTGTCAAAAATGAAATGGAACACATAAACATCGATATCTTAGGCATTAGTGAGCTGAAATGGACTGGTATTGGCCATTTTGAATCTGACAACCACATGGTTTACTATGCCAGAAATGACAAATTGAAGAGGAATGGTGTTGCATTCATTGTCAAAAAGAACATATCCATGTCAGTTATGAGGTACAATGCTGTCTGTGATAGGATAATATCCATGCACCTACAGGAAATCCAATTAATACCACTACTATTCAAATTTACGCACCAACCACCAAAGCCAGTAAGGATGAAATAGAAAACTTCTACCAACTTCTTCAGTCTGAAATCGATCAAACATGCAATCAAGATGTATTGATCATTACTGGTGATTGGAATGCAAAGTTTGGGAGCAAAGAGGACGGATCAGTGGTTGGAAAATAGGACTTGGTGATAGAAATTATGCTGGAGAATGCATGATAGAATTCTGCAAAATCAATGATTTGTTCATTTCAAATACCTTCTTTAGGCAGCATAAGAAAAGATTGCACACATGGACCTCACCAGATGGAATACATAGAAATCAAATTGACTACATCTGCAGAAAGAGACAATGGAAAAGCTTCATATCATCAGTGAAAACAAGGCCAGGGGCAGACTGTGGAAGTCCAGACCATCAATTACTCATATGTAAATTCAAACTGAAGCTGAAGAAAATGAAAACAAGTCCACAAGAGGCAAAATATGACCTTGAATATATCCCACCTGAATTTAGAGATCATCTGAAGAACACATTTGATACATTAAACTCTAAAGACCGAAGACCAGAAGAGTTGTGGGATGACATCATCAACATCATACATGAAGAAAGCAAAAAGTCATTGAGAAGACAAGAAAGAAGGGAAAGGTCAAAATGGATGTCAGAAGAGACACTGAAACTTGCTCTCC